ATTTTCCAAAAAAAAAATTGGTTATGTGAGACAACCATTTCCATTTTTTTATTTTCATTTACGATATCATCCCTACATGCCTGCCCAAACTTGTGGCCGTTCCTAGAAACCCACAGTTGTTGCTATAGCATTGCTGGATTTATTTATCTTTCCTTAAATCCACTAAATTATTGTCATTGTACTCGATAGTGTGGCAGATAAATGGAGACCTGAGTGTTTGAATAGCAACGTAGCACCAACATTCTCCTCGAAATACTTAAAACACCAAGTTTTTCTATGAATGAATTGTAGAACGATCGGGTGAAGAACCAACGGAGGCGCATCATACACGCCTTCGCCTCATAACGTGCTCACAACATCTGTCTAGGGCGGTGCGTTGGTCTTGCGCTCGATAGCTTTCAGGGTGCGGCTTATCTCAGGGAAAAAGACTACTCTTTCATTTTTGACAGTACTGTGGAATTGTGAGAAGTTTCATACAGGATAAGCACAAACTTGCTACTCCAAATCGGCTACTATAGGAGATTCCTAAACTCACAAACTTTGGCGTCATCTCTAACGCGTGCCAAAAAAAATGCACTCTTTGGTTTGTCACTACTTTACTTCAAATTTCAAAGAAATTTTCACATTATTAATTTCTCACTTGGTAGCTTGACTGTTAAACTTGCTACGGTACATATTTTCTTATTTACTCTTACATAGACACAACTTCTGTGGTATTCCACAGAAACAGCAAAATTAAAAAACATGAAAGGAGAACTCCAAAGGTGTAAACAATGAAATCCAGACATATAAGATCTGTAAGTAGAAAAACACCAATATTCGCGAAGTAGAAATTCACTGATTGCCGATAGTTTCTGGTACCTATGAAAGAGGAGAGTAGAAGTGGGAACGTTTTCTTCATCATTTTGCAAAACTTGGGCAATTGATCAGTAGGGAAGTATTTCCTTACAATGAGTTTGATTCTGATAGAAGAAAATCAGACAACATCTAGCCGCAGCTCTCTATTATGATGTGCCCCAAGAAAAACTAATTTGCCGTTTTCCATGAGTCAATAATCTTAGTCCATCGGATTTAGAAGCTTAACATCCAATCATTTGAAAGTCCTATGTTCCTAATTAACATTTTTTGCGAAGAACTATTCTGCCCTCTATCGAATGCACTGTAATATTTTGCATCTGAATGGAAGGTGTACAATGTTTCTTGATTAAGGGTGGGTCTAATATAAATTTTGTATATCTCAAAAAAGGATCTATTCCTAGTCAATGGCTCCTACTTCGTTTGCAGTCGTCCTGCAGTGACCATCAAATAGAGATCATTTTCTTCATATCTAAAACATTAATCTTTGCGGAGCGATCCTTGTGCTACCACCCATCTAATAACCGTAATTCAAGTCCAATGTGAGGAAAATTGCCTTTCTCTGGAGATGGAAAGGTTCTTTCTGGGATCACCTACATATTTCATCAAAGCATTTTTACCCCATCTTGCTGGACTTCATCCTAATTAACACCAATAATTTG